CACCTGTAAGCAGTGGCTGGGTGTGGACTGTAGGACTGTGGCTTCTTTATGGACTGACACACTGTCTCACAACTGTTTCAGCATCTTGAAAATGCACCGAGAGTAGCATATAAACACCAGTGGGCCACAGATTGCAAAAGCTACGGCCTTCTCCAGACCTAAAAAGGGACACTGCTATAGAGGCAATTCCGGCATCAAGTAATTCAGTGGTCTCCTTCATAAATTATCTCCACCGCTTTCATTCACTGCCATCAGAACCACCAGCAGGGCCTTGAAGTCACATGTTTGGGACATGAGAAAAGTGAACCCTTTCGTTCCCAGAAATTTGGAAAAAACGAATGGTTACCTGGAGAATACCTACTGCCTCTACATTGTTTTGCATGCCTCTCTTTATTTATCTTTTGTTATTACTGACTCATTTACCTGTTGGATCACTCCTTACACTCAGCTGACTTTATTGAATTCTGGCCTACTGCCTGAGACTTCCTTAGGATGGTTTACCCCATCCTTAGTACCATTCTCTCTCCCCCTCCCACTACTCCATGGTTAAGGGTTATATGCCAGGAGTCACCTTCCTGTTGAGTAATTCTCCCTTTCTCTGTCAATTTGACTTTATTTAACAAACTGTTCCCCCACTGTTCCCTTATAATGCTATTTTACTCTGAAGATTGATGGGACTAATAGACAGCTGTCTCAATATAATATAAAAAGGGATGTCTTGCGTGTGATCTGATGCCCAAAAAAAAAAAAAAAAAACAGCAACAAATAATAATAGCAACTCAAATGCTTTGGATGTTTTCACTGTATTATGAAAAATATGATTACAAATATTATTATTTATTTAATAGGTTTATTTACTGTGAGGTGAGGATGCTTTTGCTATTGATTCCAAAATAACTTTTCCTTTTCAAACTCCCTGAAAAATGTTTGGTTTTCTATAACAGAAAATTTATGCCATACTTACCGATATTTCCTTTTCCCGGATATATGCCATGGCAGCACTATGTATGGGTATAGCTCCTCCCCTTCTCAATTGGACAGGAACACCTCCTAAATAAAAGAGACTCCCCCCTATACCCCCTCAGTCTTAGTTTAAAGCCACAAAACAACACATGATTTTAGAAGATGGTGGGATCGCAGTGCTGCCATGGCATATATCCGGGAAAAGAAAATATCGGTAAGTATGGCATAAATTTTCTGTTTTTCCTGGATATATCCATGGCAGCACTACGTATGGGTTATACCCAAGCTGAAAGGCGTAAGGGAGGGAGAATAATAACCACAACGCATAAATCCATGCAACTACGGTTTATTGATCCATAAACTATAAGGCAGCAGAGAGGACACTTCTACCAAATTCTGTGGTAGATGAACGCGCTATATTCAACTGATAGTGATTGATAAACGTGTTGAAGGAGGACCGTGTTGCTGCCGAACAAATGCGATCCGCAGAAATGTTGGCTGCAGTTGCCCAAGAAGCGGCCAAGGATCTTGTAGAATGAGCTCTAAGGCCTTGAGGGACAGGAACTCCGGAGGCTGTGTAGGCCTGACTAATGGCTGAGATGATCCATCGGTCAATATGAGACGAAGAAGTGGCTTGACCCTTCTTGTAACCTGAAGGAATAATGAACAGTCTAGATGTCTTCCTTATGTCTGAAGTCCGGTTCAGGTATGTAGATAAACAGCGCACCAGATCCAAACGATGCCATTTCTCTTCTTCTTCCGATGAGGGATGAGCGAAAAAGGCTGGCAAAATGATGTCCTGATTCATATGGAAAGCAGAAACCACCTTGGGTCTGAAAGCTGGAATCATATGAAGGATCACGCGGTCTTCCTGAAGAATCAAAAAGGGAGACTCACAGGAGAGAGCGCTTAGCTCAGAGATTTTTCTACCTGAGGTCAAGGCAACCAACAGAACAATTTTCAAAGTAAGAGTAAGAATAGAAACTCTCTCCAAGGGCTCAAAGTCAGAATCAGATAAGGTCTGTAAAACCAGAGGTAAATCCCAAGGAGGGGAGCAAGACCGTACTGGAGGGCGAAGCTTGAGAATGGCTTGAAATAATCTAGCAATATCTGGATCAAATGCCAATTTCCGATCTAACAGAGCAGAGATCGCTGAAGTATGCACTTTTAGGGAGCTGAGACTCAAACTCTTGTCAAATCCGTCCTGGAAAAATTGAAGGACGTCACAGATACTGGGAGACAAAGGAGAAATATGTGCCAAACACCAGCTACAGAAGATGTCCCAAATATGATAGTAAGCCGATGAAGTGGATTTCTTCCTGGCATTCAGAAGAGTATAAATTACTGAAGAAGAGAAGCCTTTGCTGGAGAGACGTTGCTTCTCAATTTCCAAGCCCTTAAATTGAGAGACTGAGGAGATGGATGAGAGATCGGACCTTGTTGTAGGAGACTGAGTTGGTCTGGGAATTTCAGAGGAATGTCCTGAGAGAGTTTCTGCAGCAGGGGAAACCAAGGCAGCCTGTGCCAAAAGGGAATCACTGCCAGAATTGTCGCTTGCTCCTGCAGGATCCTTCTTAGCAGGGGGGAAATCAGACAAGTTGGGGGAAAAACATACCCCAGATGGATCTTCCACTCGCAACAGAGAGCATCCTGGTCTTCCGCCAAAGGGTCGAAGTAACGCGAGAAGAACCTTTCCACTTTGGGATTCTTCGCTGTGGCCATCAGAGCTACCTGAGGAAAACCCCACTTCTGGACTATGTTTTGGAATGCCAGAGGGGCTAACTCCCATTCTGTGGGATCCAGGGTTACTCGGCGTAAGAAATCCGCCACTTGATTGTTCTTTCCTGGAAGGTAAACTGCCTTGATCCCCTTCAAATTCTTCTCTGACCAGGACATAAGTGGGGTCAACACTTTCATTAAGCATTTGCTCTTTGTACCCCCTGATGATTGATGTAAGCAACTGTATTGTCTATCCTTACTCTCACCCAACTTTGTTTCAGACACGGAAAGAGCAGAAGAGCCTGGAAGACTGCTTGCAACTCTAAAACATTTGAGGATAGAGGATACTGTTTGTTTTCCCACTGCCCCTGAACATGAAGAAGGCCCAAATGAGCTCCCCAACCTGATTGGCATGCATCCGTCGTGAGAGTAACCCAAGGGATATCGTTCAGAGGATACCATTGATATAGATTCTCGCTCATCAGCCACCATGCCAGTTCCTTCTTCATCTCTGATGATAAAGAGGTTGCTTGATTCAGATCCTTGTTCGCAAACTGGGATAGAAACCCTTCTTGTGGAATCCTCATTTGCCACTTGACCCATCTCGTAAGGCCTATTGTAGAGGACAAACTTCCCAGAAGGCTCATAAATTCCTGGGCCGGGATGGAGTTCAGAGGCAGAAGACGAAGGATCTTTGATTGAATACGCCCCCTGTCCAAGGATAGGGAGACTTGTGACTGGATTGTGTCGAATCTTGCTCCTAAGTATATCATAACTTGAGAGGGGGAAAGATGACTCTTCTTGAGGTTTACCAACCATCCAAATTTTTTAAGAATTAAAAGAACCCGATCTCGATTAAGAAGGAGAATATCTCTGCTGTGTGAGAGATTCAAGATGTCGTCAAGATAATGGAATATTGAGATGCCTTCCAGATGGATATATGCTATTAAGACAACCAGGATCTTTGAGAAAGTCCTGGGAGCTGAGCTCAGGCCAAAGGGAAGGGCTCAAAACTGAAAATGCTGATGGTGAATCACAAATCTCAGGAACTTCTGGTGTGGTGGAGCAATAGGAACGTGAAAGTAAGCATCTGGAAGGTCTATGGAGATTAACCAGTCACCTGGGAAGATGACTTTTATAATGGAACTTACTGATTCCATCTTGAATTTTTTCACATACAGATTTTCGTTTAATTTGTGAAGGTCCAAAATCGGTCTCCATTCCCCTGATGCTTTCGGAGTGAGAAAAAGTCTGGAATAAACCCCCAATCCTCTTTCTTTTGCAGGAACAGGACATATAACTCCCTCTGCTGAAAGGGAAGAAACAAAAGACCGAATGGCCACTGCTTTCTCTGTTTCCATAGGCATGCTTGTAGACATGAACCGGGGATAAGGGATTGTCCAGAATTCCAGGTAGTAGCCGGATTTTAGGGTCTTTAACACCCACTTGTCCTGTATTGCTAGAGCCCAGACCTCGTAGAAGTGACGAAGTCTTGCTCCCACTCCCAAGGGCTTGACTGGCGTCCCATCAGAATTGCTTTGAAGGCTTGCCATTGCCACCACGTCCTCGGGTGGTTTTGGAAGAGGAGAGTCCACTTTTGCAGGATTAAAATCTGGAAAACTCTCTACCAGTCCTGTATTGTCTAAAGGATCTTTTAGGACGTCTATCTTGAGGAAGAAAGGCCTTACATCCTTCTACTGCCTTTTTGATACATTCGTCCAGATATTTGCCAAAGAGCCTCTCTCCTTGAAAGGGGAGGGAACACAGGCTAGTTTTTGAAGAATTATCTGCCACCCAATTACGTAGCCAAAAAGCACGTCTTGATGCTACTGTAAGGACCATGCTTCTGGAGATGGTTTTAACCAAATCTATAGAAGCTTCTGATGAAAAATCAATAGCCAGCTTAACTTTCCTCAAGGATTCCAGTAGCCTGGATCTACTGACTCCACTTGATATGTCCTCTTTGAGGTCATCCATCCACTGCTTTAAGGCCCCAGAGACAGATGTCAAGGCTACAGCAGGACAAAGCCCAGAGCCAGAGGCTATATGGGCTTTAGAGAAATTTGAGTCTATACGTTTATCCATTGGATCTCTTAAAGTACCGGCATCATCCAATGATGGGGTGGTCTTTTTGGCTAGTCGTACAAGTGCTGCATCTACTTTGGGCGCAAGGTCCCAATGGTTACTGTCCGTAGCCTTAAAAGGGTATAGTTTAGAAAAACAAACCTGAATAGTGATTCTTTTTTCAGCCTTCTTCCATTCTTGCTTAATGAGGTCCTCAATGGTCTCATGCAATGGGAAAGTAGGATTGCACCTTCTCAGGTCAGCAAAATACTTACTAGAAGCTGGTTCCTCCTATCATTAAGCTCAAAGGTATCACGAACTGCCTTGATTAAAGCTTCTATTTTCACACTGTCTATAAAGACAGGAGAGGCCCCATATTCTTCATCCTGAGATGACAACTCGTCTTGCTCAAATACCGGGGGTACATATTCATCATAGCTTAAGTCAGCATATTCCTTTGGGCTAAAAGATCTACGTCTTTTCTTAGCCTTCTCAGACTGTCGAAGACCCTCTGAAACTGCTTGACGGATGTAAGAAAGAATATCTGGATCTGGTTCAGTATGGCCTGCCGCTGCTTTAAGACAAGCTAAGCAGAGCCTTTTCCCAGGAAGCACCTTGTTGTCACAAGCTTCACATAAGGAGGTCTTATCCTTCTTTTTCTTGTATGAGGATCTGTGGGCAGAACTGAAAATCCTCCAGTCAGAAGTCTGAAATGCACTCTTTTTGTTTTTTTTAAGTATTGTGTCTTTAAAATTTTGCAGTGACTTACTCAGAACCTCTAGATTGCGACCTATTTCTCAAAGCCTGACCGGGGGAATCCATAGTATGGGCAGCTAGAAAAAAATTAGAATTTCCAGCAACCAATTATTGCTTTGAAAAAGGACTGGAGAATAGAGAAATTCATAATAAAAAGGACAAGAAATGTCACTTACCTGCAGCCAGAAAACAGAAGTTTAATCCAGTTATGCAGAGATACATCACACAGCATACTGACAGAATAGAGGTGCTTACCCTTTAAATATAGGATGTCGAACCAGGAAGTAAATTCCCATGCTGCTGGCCTTACTCTGGCGTGTGTTCCACCTGCTTTCCACTGCTGGAGAGAGGGAAAAAATAGGCTGAAAAACCTGAAGTGACGAACCGGAAATGTTAGCGATATCGGTGTGCGTTCCACCATGCGTTTCACGACCGGAATGGATCAGCCACAAGGAAACAGGAGCCCATTCCTGGTCAGGAAAGTTCTTAATCCACTGCCACTTACATAGAAACATAGAAACATAGAATGTGACAGCAGATAAGAACCATTTGGCCCATCTGGTCTGCCCAATTTTCTAAATACTTTCATTAGCCCCTGGCCTTATCTTATAGTTAGGATAGCCTTGTGCCTATCCCAAGCATGCTTAAACTCCTTTACTGTGTTAACCTCTACCACTTCAGCTGGAAGGCTATTCCATGCATCCACTACCCTCTCAGTAAAGTAATACTTCCTGATATTATTTTTAAACCTTTGTCCCTCTAATTTAAGACTATGTCCTCTTGTTGTGGTAGTTTTTCTTCTTTTAAATATAGTCTCCTCCTTTACTGTGTTGATTCCCTTTATGTATTTAAATGTTTCTATCATATTCCCCCTGTCTCGTCTTTCCTCCAAGCTATACATGTTAAGATCCTTTACCCTTTCCTGGTAAGTTTTATCCTGCAATCCATGAACCAGTTTAGTAGCTCTTCTCTGAACTCTCTCTAAGGTATCAATATCCTTCTGAAGATAAGGTCTCCAGTACATCCTGAGGATAGGGCAGGCCATCTTTATTGGGAAAGCCAAGAAGCCCAATTTTTTTGCTGCGAGTAGGTGAACCCTTCTGCGGGAATTACCACCTCCATGGGTCTGGCACATCCAGCTGCTACCTATAGGGTCACTGCAGCATAGCTCCCGGTCGCTAAGGGGAGAATCCTTCAGGAGGTTGCCCTTGGTGAGGCGCAGTGTCCTGAGGCTTTCTTGGGGAGAGAGGCTGAACTCCCCATGGGACTGGGGTACAATTAGACCCGAATAAGTCACAAAAGAAACATTTTAGGAGATGCAACCTCCACTGTCCCTGAGAAGTGAACAGGAAAAAAAGACTGAGGGGGCATGGGGTGGAGTCTCTTTTATTTAGGAGGTGTTCCTGTCCAATTGAGAAGGGGAGGAGCTATACCCATACGTAGTGCTGCCATGGATATATCCAGGGTAAAACAGTTATGGGTGTTGTTTCATAGAACAAACTTAAATTACCCCAAATTATAAAGAACATACCCTAAATCTGGTACTGTAATTTAGAGTTAGTGTTTGGGTAAGGATATGTTTAGATGTAGGGTTGGGGTTTGGGTGAATGCTGTTTTACGGTTAGAGATTGTGTAGGGTTAAGGTTAAAGGTAAGATTAGGGTGGGCATACTGTTAGAGTTAGTGCAAGGATTGGATAAGGGGTGTGGTTAGTATAGTATTAATGTGAGATTTGGTAGGGTTGGCGCTAGCAATTAAAAATAAATTTGATCCTAGACATATTAGGCTTTTAACAATCAGGACTGATGTTTGAATCTATTCTGAGTTCTTTTTAATTAGTTGCACTGGACGTGTAAAAATTTATATAATTAAAACTGTGAAAAAAAAGCAATTTTGTACATTTTATTCACACATATTATTGTGTTAGGTATACCTATAGTATCCTATATTAAAGCCTTTCTCTCTTTAAAAAAAAACCCCCATATAATATGTATGGGGGCACTTAAAAATAAACCCTTAAATTACAGTGGAACAAACCTACAGCTCAAATTCAAGTTTTCGTTTTGGTTCAAAACTTGTATAATTGTCTCCATCCTTGACGGGTTAAAGAAGAAAACCAAACCAATAATCATGGAACCAATTCTGGGATAGTACTGATTTATTGCTGTGATCACAAAAGAAATCAAGACCTGCTAGGCCAGTCGAGAAGTGGATCTAGTATAGTTTGGAAATGAAGTGAAATTTGGCGCTGCAATTCCATATACAAATTGAAAGAGCAATATCTAAAGTATATAACTAAACACAACTTAGCTTTACTATCTACTTTTACAAATGCTGGGTCACTTTGGAGTTCAGGCAAATTTGAAGACTGCTATATTTCCTGATATAACACATTGTCCTAGCACAGCAATATGTAAAATGTCTTTAACACTTATGGAGATAGGACTGGCACAAGAGTAAGGCAGCACAGATGTCCACCTTAGAGCGCCCGAGGAATTATCAACTACAGAAAACTGACAGGTCTGCTTTTTTTATAACTGGATTATCCCAGGGATCCAGATGTAAAATAATGGAGTACCGGAATACATTGTAATAACTTTTTTTTTTTTTTTATAGGTATAACAGAAAATATTGAATATGAAGCTTTCAAAAATTGTTTATTTATCAAATGCAAAAGCATGTACTTAAAAAAGTTATTTTTTCTGAAAATAATTTTTTTATCGTTACAGTTTAACCTCTGCCATGGTTATCTGCCAATGTATAAATTGTTGAGATATCAAAGTGAATTTTAGGCTGACATAGACAAACCGAAACCATATCTGACTTGGAGGATGTTTTCAATTCTGTTATATTGATGTTACATTTTAAATGTACTTTACATTCCCTACAATTAACACTTCAGTGAATGACCCTGCATTTGTTGACAACCCAACAGCATTTTAATAGCTTCAGTATTGTTTATGACCCCGAAACCCTCACTTTTAAAAAAATCAAAGAATGCTCCTTTAGCATTTAGCATGGAGCTTTACTTCCGCCAGCAATGTCTTACATCCGCCAGGACTCCGTCACTTCCTGCGGATGACATCACTTCCCTTAGAAGGTGTAGTTGCCAGAACACCAGCGTGGTTGGATTACTGATGCTCCCAGTGACCCGGATGTGAAACAGTTCTATCACCCATTAAACCTTTAGAAGCTGCTTGGCCCTGCGAAGCGTCAGCATGTTTAAAAAGTGAGTGAATCAGTGACCTGTCTCATACTCCATAACATGCAGGGGCCATGGCCCATTGTGCTGCAGTGACCTCAGTACATGGGGGTTGTGTGTGTGTATAAGGATAGATTCTGGTACACCCCATGTGTTTCTATGGAGATTAATTCCCATGTACAGATAGACCCCATTGGCAATGCTTTATATGTATAATGCACAATGAGCTTGTAACATTTGGCTATTGTGCACAGCATGGTCTATGGGTAATTCACCTCCAGGTGATTGAAGCATGGGTGCTTTGTAGCATTTCTTCTGTCTCCCCCACTCTTGCTCTGTGGGTAAAATGCCTTTTTAGAGCATAATATACAACTCAGTTGGTTTTAAGGTTCACTGTAGCATTTATAATGATGTCAGTCCAGGAAATGGTTTGTTATGGTCCTAGGTAAGTTACCTGATATGGCATTTTACTGGAAGGTATGTATTAATTATAAAATAGTGCAGTCATGTCTCAAAAATCATAACATTGAGAACTGCAAACATCTTATTCCAGACATAAGTTTGTACAACTCCCCCTGTTCTATACCCTCAGTATCAGGCATGTCAAACCACAATGGACCTTACCTAAAGGGACACAATAGGCAAGTAGATCACTTCCTTTCATTGAAGTGGTTTGGGTGCAGTGTCCCAGGTCCCTTAACACTCCAGTGGTGATTATTGCAGTATTTGATAAAGTGCATTAATTACCAGCCAGGGTTAACTCCACTTCTAGGGGCTGACTATCTATAGTGGTTGTATACAATTTATATGGTTATTTACCAATTTTATAACTGTTGGGTATTCAAAATGAATTTAGGCAAAAGTAGCTGTATTGGAAAAAATCTCCTAGTCAGTCACGCTTCCATTTTGTCCCTGAATTAAAATGCACTTTGAATTCCTTAAATTGCTTGTTTTAGTAAATAAGCTGATATTCCTTTAGAACCAGCACTGGTCCCCATTTCAGGATTTACAAGATGATGTAGCCTTGTAGTAATTATATTTTAAGAATAAAAAATTTTCATATCTAAACACACAATAATGCATCGCATTATTTAGTAAAATACATTTGTTGGTACGTATATTTTATCTCAAGGTCAGTGAAATAGTTAAAAACCTTCATGATCAATTATTTCTTAAGAATAAACGTTGAATTATTATTTTTTATCATGGAAAGTAGAGTTTAAAAATATGTTCAACACTGAGCGTAGCTTATATTGAGGTCCAAAAGCACAAAACAGGGGTTATTTATAATTCTACAGGAAGGGGGAGCGAATGGGCTATACATATTGTCTTTTGCTCTCACCAGATCTGAACAAGAAAATCACAATGTCTGTTTTTACATAGTGACATGCTGTTTTTCTAGTGCCACACAGAACTTTCCTCTGTAAATCATTTTTTTTTTTTTCTGCAGATTTGATGAGAAAGAAAATGTTTCCAACTGCATTCAGTTAAAGACATCTGTGATAAAAGGCATAAAAAATCAGCTGAATGAACAGTTTCCTGGGATAGATCAATGGCTTAACCAGATAATGCCAAAAAAGGACCCAGTTAAGATTGTAAGATGGTAAGTGTCTAAGGGAAAACACTCTAACTGTACTACATCTAGCCAGCCTTTACAACAACTGGATCAAGAAGAAAGTCTCAGCTTTTATAGGCCATCACGGATTGTGATGCAACATAAACATTATCAGATTCCATGTGTAACTAAAACAGTTTAAATCCAGCTTGCGTTTCGGGGGTTCAGGGGAAGGAAGAACAAGAGCGAAAGAGAGGGGGTTTCTATATGTCCCTGCATTCCTGGATATATAAAGGGGCGGGTGGGGGGGACCTGCAAAGAACCGATGTAGTATTGGCCTGTAAAGAGCCGATATAGTAAATGGGTGTGAGGAGAAGAGAGAGAAAATAAAGGAGGGAAGGGATAAGGTAGTGCAAGCCGAGGCTTCTAATATCAAGAAACTGAAACCAAGAACCAATATGTACAAGTTCAACAATAGTTTTAGGACATAGGTGTTAGTGGCATTGGAGTCAGAGGGACCGAACTAGTCAGCTCCCTCGAGCCATGGTGCTGTAACTATTACACTCTGGTCAGGTGGGAAGCGCTGCCTAATCACTCCAGACTACAAAAGAGTGGACCAAGGCGGCAAACCAAATATTCAGGACACGGTTTGCGGCCTTGAGGAAGTTAGATAAAACTTTCACGTAGAGGAGACCCCACAGTGCCCCTCCGACTCCCTCTACTCTGAAGTTGTATGGCCACAGGGCAATAAATACATGACAAACCTCTATACATCCTCAAAGGGTCGTTGTAGAGGAAGTCCGCCACTTCCCACTGCTCCCTCCAGCTCTGAGCTTCCGATGAGACTATGGTGACCAGTCTGAAACCTGTTGTAGCAGAGCTCCTGGTACCCCAGATGGGTACCTCTACCAAGAATCGCTTCCTAGCTGGAGCAGGGGAAAACCTCAGTCGCCGTGGCTTGACTGGATATCCTCCTGGAGCCTCTCTGTCCTGCAAACAGGATAGGGGACTAGCTCTATTCCCTCCCAGGGACTGGAAGACAGACAGTACTGTCAGCTGAAGTCCTTACAAGGACTTTCCCCGCTGAATCCTCCACAAGATGGAGCAAGGGGCTGAGCAGTGATTAGCCCTTTCTCCTCCCGGTAACTAGACGACCTGTAGTTCTGGGAGTACAACTGATTTTAATGAGCCAAACTCTGCCTTTTATGCACAGACCCCAGCATGGGGTCCCCATTGTATTCAACACAAGCCCGTCCCAGGAATCTCTGGGCCTGGAAGATAATTGAGTTAAAGACTGGTAATCTAATTATCTCCCAGGAACAGAGGGCCAAACACAAACATATAAGTACCCCAAAACATAACATACAATAACCCCACATATAATACATCCCCAAATAGCCCTGATCTGAGCGCCCAAGTTGTCCAAATAGCCCTCAGATACATGCAGTGTAGGGGAAACGCCACCATGTTAAAGTTCTGACTGGCCGCACACGTGTTCCTATGCCAAAAATAGTTCCAGGGCGTTTGGTGCTTTTGACAGTCAACGTTTTGGAGCTCCTGCGTCCGAAATACGGGGTGCTCCGCTCCGGCTCTCAGGTAGCATTTGTTCCCCTTAAACTCAGGCACCTTCCCTCCAAAAAGCGCTCTTCTGGCGGGTTGCAAAGTGGTCCAAAACCCCGGACCAAGTTGTCCTGGAACCGAACGGTCACATCATGCCGTAAACTGTTCCATAACATTCGCGGCTAAGTCCCGCTGAGGTGACTGGAAACCTACGAAGTCCTCATGCCGAAATTAGTTCCATAGTGGTCGCGGTTAAGTTCCGCTGATGACCATTTGTGGGTTTGATTCATGCGAATGGCCGCCAGGGAGCTAGCATTCAGTTCCATTTGAATGAAGGTAAAGTGCTGAACCAGGGGCACTCAGGGAAAACTGCTAATGGTGGCTGGGCGGGGTCTCAGACTTGGACCTTAGTCGTGGGCAGGAGGCCGGCTTCCACACTTCCCCAGCAAACGTTTGTTGGAAGGAGCATTTGTCACACAAGTAACATGTGTGAACCTTCCCTCCCCCCCTCCCAAATAACCCCCAAAAAACACATTTACATTTATCTTTAGTCCAGCCTTGAAACAACCTCCCATTCTAAGGCTGATCTGTCCCCTCAAATGTAATCAAGCTACTTCCCATATCTTGATGATCATTGTCCAATCAAATGCTTTTTATTAGTAGTTGGGACATATGGCACATCAGCTGTTACCTCTGATGTTACCAATACTTATCTCTTGGGAAACAATTAATCAGGCAGCAAGGCACACGGTCATTACTCAGATAAGTGCTGGCAAGGGACTTTACTGCTAAGTGATGGGGCCAAGAATAGTACTAATCATCATAGACTGTACGGCCATTTGTTAACATTATCTATACTTTGACTTGTTTCTGATTTAACAGCCATGAACATATAGAAATATTAACAGTAAATGGAGAGCTGCTATTCTTCAGGCAAAGGGAGGGACCATTCTATCCAACACTGAGATTACTACACAAATGTAAGTATTGACTGCAAAATAAAAATGTGAATTGAAACATGCATACTTTGATTTTTTTACTATTAAAATATTTGCTTCATCTTTAGAAAATATTTGAAGCAAAGCTGTCTCATATCCGATAACTGTGATCACTACATCGTCAGTACCTAATGTGACAAAAGCGTAACATTCATTAGAACAGTTTTTTTCAGGGATATCAGAGCTGCAGTAGTTCAGGCTATCCCTGCTGCTCTTGAATCTGCTCAGTTGATGATTGTTGTCAAAAAGAGGAAAAGGGCAAGGTCTCTTCCTGATTTTTTTTTTTTTTTTCCTGATCAGATTTTTATATTTTTTAAATACAAATTTACATTCTTCAGCTAACTGTTAGTTGGCTACCAAGCTGTTTAATAACCTCAGATGTGAAAGTTCAAATGTTTAGGCATTTCTATTAGTTTGTGTGTAATTCACCCAGAGTTGTGAATTCCATTGTCATAAGGTTAAAATAATTAAATTGGTTTTCTGCTCCAATTAACGGTATCAAACGATTAAAGCAACATGTATATTTTTCTTATCTGTTTTTTTTGCTTTTTCTTGTTGTCTTATTGTGCATCTTGTTGAAAATTTTGAGTTAGAAATGGCTTCAGTTATGCTATAGACTTTAAAACTATTAACAGAAACGTATCAGCTGTTAGGCATTTAAAATGTTTATTGATATATGTTAATACATTAATACAATCCTTTTTCATCTTTTACAGTTCCCTTTATTCTTCCACATCAACAAGTTGATAAAGGAGCAATTAAATTTGTTCTCAGCGGAGCTAACATTATGTGCCCGGGCCTCACATCTCCAGGAGCCAAGCTTTACACTGCAGCAGCTGATACGGTTGTTGTATCCTTATTTTTGAGCAAACGTTTGTATTGGCACTTAAACAGTGAACAAACTTAGACTGATTCCTTTCTACTGTTGTTTAAGGGATATCTAGTTGGTGGCAATATCGGTATACCAACTGGGAATGTTGTGTCTAGGTATTTATTCACTGTCCCAAAACAAAGTACTATGAGGTGACTCTCCTGGGAGAATTTACCATCTTTACCTTTTGATCTAATGCACTCACGTGAATGGTTTTCATTATTCTATTTCTGGAATCAGAAAGGAAGTGCATGATTTGCTGTGCTCTCTCCCACTTGAAGAAAACCTCTGTGCTAAATGCATTTGTATTCATAGCATTACAAAGATGACCAAAAAAAGATTAAAATTTGTACAAATATTTTGTACGTCCTGGAAATGTATATTTAATTTGCTGCAGAACTGGCCTTTGCAGCAAATTAAAGGAACACTAAAGCATTGGGAATATAAACCGGTATTTATAGCGTTCTATTGTCCCTGTCCCTAGTTTTATAGGTCAATCCACCGTGTGTGTCTCATTAAAGGGACACTCCAGGCACCCAGACCACTTCTGCCCTTTGGAGTGGTCTGGATGCCAACTCCCACTACTCTTAACCCTGCAAGTGTAATTATTGCAGTTTTCATAAACTGCAATATTTACCTTGCAGGGTTAACTCCTCCTCTAGTGGCTGTCTACTAGACAGCCACTAGAGGGAACTTCCATGTGTGTAGCGCCTCTGGACGTACTCCTGCTATGTGAGGACCTCCAGCATCGCTGAAATCCCCATAGGAAAGCAATGAAAGCATTTTTCAATGCTTTCCTATGGGGAGGTCTAATGCGCGTGCACGGCATTGCTGCACATCTGCATTAGGTCTCCCCTGCCGGCAGCCGCGCATGCGCAATAGGTCTCCCCTGTCGGATGACGAAGGCGGGGGAGGAGTGTGGGCGGACCCTGAACCAGCGCCGAGGGACTTCAGCAACTTGGGATGGGGGGTGGGAGAGAGAGGGGACCTGCAGTGCCAGAAAAACGGTTTGTTTTCCTGGCACTGGAGAGTCCCTTTAAGATATTTTTAGAAAGCTTTTTTACTTTTTCACCCATTTTTCAGTGCCAATGCTCCATTTGCGCTGCTCTCTTCTCCAGGAAAGTAATGGAACAGGCATGGTCTCAGGTGTGGTCCAATCCATTGCTTCTCATAGAGTGCTGCGTGCATATCCAATCTTCTACTCAATCAGTGTAGCAGAAACATCTCCATTGACTGTTATACTCTTCAAGGTAAATATGGCTGTTTCTGCAGTATCTGCATGGTTCAGTTGACAGAAACATTAGAGGTTAGAGAGGTAAATTGCCTGAAAGCCAGGCAACATTATCTTTGACACTATGGTTAAACTTACACAGCATGCAAAAGTTGTACATACATGATAATGCCAGGAAGAAAGAGAGCTTTCCAGGCCCACCCATAGCAAAAAAGGTATGTATGTTTGGTATGGAATATTTAAAAAAAGAATAAATGCGGAACATTGTCATTACACCATAACCACTTCAATAAGATGAAGAGGTTATGTTGCTTAAAGGGATACTTTTTAATAAAAGAAAAACATCAAAGCATAATGTTTACTTAAAGCTTTGTTATTCTCTTCTGGAGTCTTAGCATTTTGCCGAGAAGAAAGGGGAAGTGTTAGAAAAATGTATTATAGTAACGCAAAAAAAGTTTTTTATATATATATATTTATTTTTTTTTATTATTTTTTTTTCTGGTATGGTCTTTCCCCGATGTTTTGTTGCTCATAACTTTCTAAATCCTAAATTACCCTTTTTACGTAAACCGTCCTATGAGATTGTTCAGTTGGCTAGAGCTTCGGCTTTAGAATGTGTATAGCTACACAACTGAATTCTAAATCAGCTGCCAGTTAAATTCAGTCTTCATTCTTCTGATGGTTATAAAGTAATATAGATATCCAATGAAAGCACAAATACCTGGAATGCACAAATTTGATATTTAAAATTGTTCCGTGTGCTCATCTTTTCCTTAACTATAACATTAAGGCTATAATGGCAGAAGGAAAGCAGCATGCCCTGTGTGTTGGTGTTATGAAGATGTCTGCAGATGATATGTAAGTCTATAAGCAACAGCGACTGTTTATGTTCCTAAACGATTCCATGTTTGGATGGTGTTACCAATCTACACATTATAGCAGGAAGTGCTGCAGGCAAGTTCTTCTTTTGCAGCAAAATTCCAAACTTTGGACTTGATAAATTTCATATGGAAAAACGTTTCCCTGCGTAGCTGTTGAGAAATCAGATTCATTGCAAACTGTGAAGTGGTCCCTTTGCCTATGTGTAATTCTGATGGTGCTCTGCTATCACATTGCAGTTGGTTTCATCAATTTTCTGCCCCAAACATACAATGCAGAATGTTTGCACCTTGTAGATGGGAAGAGGGTGTTTGTAAATTCTACACAAATAAGAGCATTTTTGTTTGGGGTTATATCTAAACACAGTTTGCAAAAGCTGCCGTTCCCTTCTCTGCAGCCTTTGCAAGCCAGCCCCATCTAAACCCAGGCGTTCTGTGGCCGTCCAATAACAGACATCCCAATGCAGCTCAAAGAGAAGGCAGATGCCCTGGGCTATTGGCTACCTCTTGAGTTTAGTTATCTGTTCAGGGAAGACAATAGAGTGTCTGTTTTCAAACCCTGTCCGAAGGTGCATGTATATGTCTGAAGGATTCTGTCGTAAACAAAAGCTTGGGGTGAGTTTTCTCTTTTTATTTTTCTTTAAACATACTTTATTTCTTTTTCAATACTTGATGAAAGGATTATATTAAAATGTATTTAAGTGACAGTTGTCCTTTAATACTAAATCATCTAAAAGCCCTTTATTATAGCTACCTTTTAATTCTTTGTATACCCATGTTTATACTATGAATATGGTGTTAAATGCCTATATTTACATATTGAGAGGTTTGTGATTAGGCATCTGTAAGCTATTGTATTTGGAAGAATATTTCTCAGTTTGTAAGTTGATTAAGTAAATATAATTTTTTTTATTCTCCACCAGTACAAAAGTCAATAAAGGAATCGGCATTGAAAATATTCACTATTTAAATGATGGCTTGTGGCACATGAAGACTTACAAATGAAGCTCTTGGAACAAATGCAGATTGCTTGAAAAAATGTTTTTATTGATGTTATTGAATGTAAAACACATTTTGTGCTGTAATTCTGCTTAATAAAATAATTATGTTAAAAATGTTGTGATTCATACAAACAGTGCATTGATACTCTAATAGTTTGTAGATCGGGAAGCAATCTTTTAAATGTGAACTATTAATACAATTATTTGATTTGTTTTAGTATATATTAAACTAGGCTTTCCAGATGTTGTGGATTACATCTCTCCTGATGCTTTGCCTGCTTTGTGGGAGATGTAGTCCACAGAATCTGGTGTGCCCTGTATTAATCCCTAAAGTGCAGGCCATGTAAAGTATACTGGTCATAACCAGCACAACCTGTCTTAAAGAGCTTTACAGGTCATTTATATATAGTGCAAGCAAATGTTTACATTTTAATTTAACGCATTTCAAAGAAGAAAAAAAAGTATGTTCCACACCTGTCATTAAATCCTTAGAATTACACTGCAGCACAGAAGATCTATGACAAGGACTGAGCAACAAAGAGGAGTAAGCGGTCCCTCTCCTCGGTGTTTCTCTTTTTTTGGTGTTTAGTGTCCCTTTAAGATCATACCTACTGGAAACTGGTGTCTTCCTTTCCAGCTGGCCAGGTGAGTGGAGGTAACAGTGTAATCAGCCAAGGCATGAAAACCATAGGAAGTAGCAACATGCATTTGACAAAATGAAAATAATTTGCATAGAGAGGGATTGTGAATTTAATTTTAAGATACAAAAAGAAAATTTATAACTATAATGGAGATGGGGATTTTACTCTGAATCCGTTAGTTACCTAGAATTTGAAATTTCACTTTCAGTTCACTCTGTATTTATGTAAACTGTATTTTGTAGGAATATGCCTTCACTGCATGCATTTTTATTTCCCTGTCCATTGCTATAATTGACAAAGAGTGCCAAGTTCCAACATAGACCCTGACACATCACAGACAGCACACAATCCAGCAAGACTCTAAGGACATAGATCCAGACATTCCAAGTTCTTCTTCCTATCTCCCTTCTCTCTGCTGACTGATGTGATCATGAACCTGCAGATTCCACCTTAAAAACATCACCGCATCTGACCCTTTCTTACACAAGATGCTGCCAACGAGCTTGTTCATGCTCTGGTAATCTCTTGCATGGATTACTGTAATTCTCTCCTAGTTCGTCTCCCCAAAAGCATAACTGCCCCGCTACAATCGGTAAAGAATGCTGCTGCCAGGCTGATATTTCTCACCCATTGCTCCTCTGTCGATCCTTACACTGGCTTCCTGTATTCTATAGGTGTCAATTCAAACTACTAAACCTTACCTATAAAGCTCTAACCAACTCTAGCCCATCTTACATTTATTCCCTGATCCATAGATATGCATCTTCTCTGTTTCTCCGCTCTGCCAGTGACCTTCTCCTGTCTGCTGCTTACTGATAACTCGCACTTGCAGGACTTCTCGTGGGCGGCTCCCTTTCTTTGAAACAGCATGCCTACCCCCATCAGACTCTCCCTTAGTCTTCAATTGTTTAAGATGTCCATCAAAACACATATGTTCAGAAATGCTTATGGACTCCCAGAGTAACTTATCTATACTTATCCAAATCTGTCTCTTGCTCTGCTAAAGAGCCACACTTCACTCTCACCTCCAACTCTGCTACTTTTGTTTGGTGGCTGTCACCCTTGCTGCTTTGTTGTGTATTTGTACCCCACCTCCTCTAAACTGTAAGCTCATTTCACCAGGGTCCTCATCTACCCATTGTTCCCGTGTCACTGTGTAATTGTCTCATTTATTGTAAATCCCCTCCCCCCTTTCATAATATTGTAAAGCACTGCAGAATTAGTTGGTGCTATATAAATACCAATAATAACAAGGAGGAACCTGGTCTGTGCATGATTAGTAGGAGTTACAACCATTTTAATCCTAATGTCTCCCAAGCCAAATTAATGTCAGCAGCTGAAATAGCTTACTGCATAAACCACCACAGAAATTTTTTTTTAATTTTAACCGCATAAAAGCAATGTTAATGTTACTAAATCTTTACGGCACAGTTATAAATATATGAAAAGTTAAAGAGTGCTGTAGTGGTTATGTTGGTGGGAGTACCCTGGCACAGCCCTGTTGTAAGGAGTCAAACAATTTCAAAGCAATTTGACCTCTTACATAGAGTTCACAGACCCTACTCCCCATCACCACTGCTTCCTTTGGAAAGCTCTAAGCTCTCTATTTGTGATAAACTCAGGGGTACAGGGTTTAGCTCATTGATTAAAGGACCACTATAGTGCCAGGAAAACATTGGTTTTCCTGTCACTATAGTGCCCTAAAGGTGCCCCCACCCGCCGGGCTGGATGGCGAGGAAAGGGGTTAAACTTACTTTTTTTCCAGCGCTGGGCGGGGAGCTCTCCTCCTGCGATCCTCCTCTTCGGCTGAATGCGCATGCGCGTCAGGAGCCGCGAGCATTCAGCCAGTCTCAGGAAAGCATTCATAATGCTGTCCTATGGACGCTGGCGTCTTCTCACTGTGATTTACACAGTGAGAAGCACGCAAGCGCCTCTAACGGCTGTCAATGAGACAGCCACTAGAGGCTTTGGAGGCTGGATTAACCCATTTATAAACATAGCAGTTTCTCTGAAACTGCTATGTTTATTAAAAAAAAGGGTTAATCCTAGAGGGGTCTGGGTGCCTAGAGTGGTCCTTTAAGAGAGATCAGATAGGAGTTAATGAAAGCTTTTATTTAGGAGCTTTCAGCTTTACATATGAAATAGCAGGTATGGAGCTTAGTGTTCCTTTTATGTGTCTGTCTAATGTGGATTCATGCTATCGCTAGTGGGTAGATAACATCCCAAAAGAGTTGGGACGGGGCCTGAACATCATGGCATCCAGACGCACTTTGAGAGTGCTTCCCACCTGATCCTGGCATTTTGAAAACAAGCTGACTCCCAGCAATCTCAACTGGCTCGATTTGTTGGCTGCATGTCCCCAGAACTAAATGAGGTGTCCACTGATCGATTCTATTGTGACTCAAACAGGGTTCTCACCGAGCGGTTCCAGTAAAGCCTACTGAATCATTGGACAGGGTAGGCGGCACTGCACTATACTGCAGATCTATATTCTTCCCCCTATGGACCAGCAGAGCTTATGCCCGGTCACCACTGGCCGACACCACATACCTCAGCTGACACTTTCAGACTCTCAGCAGAAACGGGATCTCCAGAGATAGTGGAGGTTTTCTTACCCCTTGATCTAGGGCCAACACAGTCTACAAAAGACCCAGTGCTCAGTGGAGCAAATGCTGAGGTGGTTAGACATAATCTTTGACTGCTTTTGGGCGACAATTGAGTCTTGCACCATCGTGTCATACAACAGTGGAAGACCAATGGCCAGGGGTGGGGGTAAAGCGTTTGCATATAAACTTGTTTCCTCCCACACTTGTCCGACTGGGATGAGACTTACATGGGCATGACCCTGTTGCATCACCCACCCAAGCGGAAGATCGATGGCTGGCGACTCACCATCAAGGCCTTCTACTATTTCTCAACAGGGATGGATTTGAACTCCAAGAGCCCCCACACCTGTGGCTCAGGGATGCTGGCCTTCATTCAACACTGGCGCAGGAGGGATATCCCAACTTTCTCCTGTCTTACCCCCCATCATCGACAGCCTCCCCCTAGCACTTACTTGTTTACCAGACTTAGGCCTCGGATGAATGTGTGTTTCTCTAGACAGTTATTGCCTTCGTATACATATTCCACAACTGCTGATGGGCACCATCCTCCCTCTGTCTGGCATTACAGGCCTTCCAAGCCTCAATTCAAAACAAAGCATAAAGAAGAAGATTTCCAAATAAACTATTTTATAACTTGTTTTAGTAAAAATCTTATTTATCTTTTAATTTGTCCGTGCGGATTGCAATACGTTGGCCGGACTATTCGTCCTCTACACAAAAGAGTGTACGAACATATTAATAATATTAAAAAGGGTTTTGAACAGCATAGCGTTTCAGCTCATTTTAAAAGATATCATAAACTAGATCCAAGTGGCTTAACATTTTTAGGGATTCAGATAGTGAAAAAATCTTGGAGAGGTGGCAACTATATTCTAGACATTGGGAAGGAAGAAATTAAATGGGCACACAAATCAGGTACCCTAGAGCCCAATGGACTTAATATAGAATTTGATCTATATAACTTCTTATGATAAGTCCCCCCTTCCTCCTGTTTATTATTACTTTAGTGTTCCTCCTGCTTTTACACATAAAAATTTTTTCATGAGTATTGGGATTATTTATACTTGTTAATTATCGGTCCATATATTTATAAGTTTATTATGAATTTTCATATGAAGTAATTTCTATATCCTTTTTTTTCCCACGTAGGATATTTTTACTTGTATATGTACATTAGACCTAACCATCTTCCTTTATTGAATGGTATTATTAGTTTATATTCTTATTTGTATTATATATATATATAATATTCTACATAGTGGACATTTATATGAAGAGACATTTAGGCAATATGCCCTATAGTTCATAGATTTTTTTCACATTTGGGACTAATTATGTGCATTTGAAGAGGATACCACGCCTACATAGACGGGTATATATTTTGAGAGACGGCAACCACCCGAACGTGATCTGAGGAAGCCGTCAAGGCGAAACACGTCATCGCGTTTTTGGACGCACAACGTCAGTACGTGTTACTAGCACCTCCTATTCCCGGAAACATCTAACCACTGGAAGACCGCAAGTGCATGCCGCGAGTCAGAAGTGTGTTCGAACCATCTTGGCTTTCCAGGGAGAGGGGTGATTTTCTGTTTTACTTTGTACCAATAAAAGGTTTATTTTTATTCCGGTGCCATCCTGCCTGTTTCAAGCACATCATTCAACTGTTCTACAGAATCCTGCAGAGAGGATTTTAAAGCGTCAAAAGTTGGAGCAGACTTTATTCTGCTCTACCATTGTGAGTTGTATTCTCCTACTATTTTTGATTATACTTATACAGATTTACACTATATTGTGTTTTCTTGTTTCCCTATTTCTTTACTTATATGTGGAGCTATTCCAAAGAGATACTCCTTCAATCAACAGCTGTGTCTATATTTTGAGGAGTAAGTGTTTCTCTGGTTGAATTTCACAAAGAGCACAAATTCACACAGTATAATATATTTGATATTATCCATTTGCACTTAAAGTAATGAATATAAATTGTATTTGCACTTTATTCACTATTGTTTGATCAATATCTGTTTATAGACTGTTTTAATTGTTGAACACTTAAAGGCACAGCGCCCTTTTTTTTCTGCACTTCCAAGCCTCAATGTTGGTGCAGAGTTATATAAATTTATTTTCCTTTTTTGATTTCTAATTTACATTCTTTATTATTGGCGTGCAGGGGTTAACAGACAATCATATAACAACATGTCGGTATAGACATAAGTCAAGCATAGTTGATGGAACATACAAACGCTAGGTATACTGCACTTTTAAAGAAATATAATAAGGCAAAGAGAAGAAATAACAGTGCACGAGAACATGAGATAAGTAAATAAGGAAGTGGAATGCACAGAGATCACTTTTAGGGAAAGTACCTTAAGGAGACCCCTTGGGCAGGCTAGCCTTAAATCCCACATACAAGAAACATAAGAGTCTTTCTTAGCCTAGAATGCCGGGACACCACGTCTGCAGTGAGTTTAACCTCTGCCACATATGGGCAGCACAGAGTCCCGCCATGAGTAACTCAGAATCAGGCCTTGATGCACACGAGAGTAGGTGTGTGGTCGCTGAAGGGTCGTCGGGTAGACTTGTTGGGTTCTGCCGGAATTGATTTCTAATTTAAGCGGTGCAGTATCTATATTGTGAGTGCAGGGTACAGTGGCTCATACAGCTTTATAATTCAACTAACATGTCCTTACTTACCTGAAACTTGTCATCGCCATAGCTATAGTATGCTTGCAGACATTCCCATAGAGCTAAAATTGTAATAACGTGTTTCTATGTACTCAGATTTTAGCATATATGGCATATTTTCAGTGTTAAAATATGTCTTGATCATGCCCCTTGGCATGATTACCTACCCTGCTTGCTTTTGTATTATGTTTTAAACTGCGGGCGATTCTCAATATAGCATGTCTTGCGTGTGTCTAGGTATAGCATCAGTTTTCAATGTTACACATTAGCCTAGCCGGTCTTTGTCATTTTATTATACTAAAAACAGAGCTCTTTTATTGAGTTCCTTGTCAATATACAATGTTTATTTTGAAATGTACACTTAAGCTTGTTCCTGCTGTTGTGGCACTACAAGTATATTTGTAATTCTAAGCGGATTGTCAGGATTACTAGTTGATGCAGCACGCAGAATAGTATCACACCTAGGACTAAGGAAAACGTCTAACCGGACCTTAGAATGGCCGGACTTAAACGTACCCAAGAATAGTCAAAATACTTGCCGAGGTCAGGGATAGAGAATGAGACACAACAATGAGGGAAAGACAAAAGTCAAGGATACCAGAAATCAGCAAAGTCAAAATGAAGCCAAAGTCAAAAACCAGAATAATACAATCAGGAACACACTCGCTGATAACTAGCAAAGGGAAACCAAGACAGGGCACTGATCAAAAGGTAATGTGGGTTTAAGTAAGCCTCCTAAAGCTGTAATTGGCTGTATGTGACCTCTGACCCCAAAATGAGCGTGCACGTCTATGACGTGATGTTGCATGCACGTAAGCGCCATCTTTAATGATCCCATTAAAACAGGAACAGCAGCGGCCGGCATCTCTAGGAACGCCGCACACGCTGGAGACCGGGACGGAAGGAGGTCGGGTTGTGGTCTGCCGCAAGCAAGGTAAGTATTATTTCTGTCGGTGTGACCGCTGTGTTTCTGTCGGGCCATGCCAACAGAATCCTGCAGAACTAGGGCGCTGATAAAGATTCACCCAAAAAATTCCCAAACGAAATAGAAATCACACACACATTCATTTTATCTCAGCGAATACACATGTATTGTGATATCCTATTAAACAAGATTGTTTAAAAGGAGAGAAATAATTCTGTGTATCCAAAACAATTGTTAGTATTCATATTGTATTTCTAACGTAATGCCAAAATAGCTTCTCCATGCCAGCCAGCTATGCTTGCAGTCTGACGTTATTGACCTAAATTTGATACACACTTTTCTAGCACGTCTGTCAGATTATTATTTTCTTTTTAATTATATTTCAGACATGTACCTGGCTTATATGTTTCATCTGGTGATTCATCTGTGAGGTTTAGGCAATGTATAAGTTTGTATACTTTGTTTAGGGAGATTACCCACTTCTTCTATGGATACTTGTACTTCTTTTTTCAATTTTTTGATCAAACCTATTGGTTTATCATGTCTCCATCCGTATATAATTTGTCTACCCCGGTTTTCGTTTTTGTTTTTTTCCATATTGTACCACGTTTCTGTCAGATTCTACCCCTCTCCTCCATGATTATTTGAAGGTTTTAAAAGCTTCTAAAAAAAACAAAACCCCACATCTATAAAAGTAAAGACTCACAAACATGCATAAATGTAAAAGCATATTTTGTACATGAATGGTAACAATCAGATGTCTAACTGCCCTGCTGGGTGTTTAGCAATAATTTAAAACAAATAAATGCAATATGAAAACTCAATTTTAATATAAAATAGGATTTTTATTCATACAGAAGTTTAGTATTTGAAATTCCCCATATATTACAAAGTTACAAATAGTTCAGTTTTCTAAGAAATGTTAAGTTTCCACATACCAATCAAAAATATTCCAAAAATATATATACCCCAAAAGAACACCCAAATCTTCATTTGACAGTTACCTCATTGCACAGATTAATTCTTTAAAACCTAGGTTCTCAATTTTATCCCATGTAGGATTTCAGGATTTTCACCACTATCCACCAGTGCCAATTTGACTATATCCTGACACCCTGCCTTATGTCTTACATGAACGGATGTCAGATCTGCCATGCTTCCTTAACACATCTTATTCATGCTGAGTGTCCATAAATGAAAAGTACTTTCTGTAGCTGCTACGGACGAGAAATCAGTTAACAGGATGGTTTTCTTGGGATTGTTATTTGGTTAATGACTTCCTTCTGCAGCAAACACATTCTGCGTACAGCAGGGCAGTACTTTTTAAATGTTACCCAACAACATTTAAAAGATGTGTGTCAATGAAAACATGATGAACCTGACAACCCCTACACTGGCACTTCTACCAGAAAGAACTATATTTGGTCAAATTTTAATCCAGTTTTCCCCTAGATTATTATTTTTTTATTTCAATAAATATACCTCCCTTCATTGACACAGATGCAACAATTTATGTATTTTTTTAAAATCACAACTCAATTAAAATTTTAGTAATAAAACAAAAAAAAGGCATTGTATCACTATTTCCTGAAAAAATAAGCTTGTGCAGCTTCAAGGCTAGATTTTGGTCAGTAACACAAGTATACGGTTTCTTTATAGCTCATCTAGGGCTTCAAAAATTATATTTAATGCAATAGACTAGAGTCTTCGTTGCTTATGGGGGATTCTCTATACAGTGAAAACTGTCTGTTTGGAATAACAAGTATTATTTTTGCCACCATTTTTAAATTTTGCTTTCCAGCTTTTTTTTTTTTTAACCAAGAAATTGTTCTTCTGCTGGTGAAAAACTGAAGCTATCCCTTGTTCCTGACACAGTTACTTGATGTACTGCACATTTACTAGAACACACCTGTGCAAGAAGTTGCATCTTTTACTTAAGGGACAGCACTAACCAACTTAAAGATGCACATGCATGAAACATAGAACCGGTTTCAAGACAATGCTCTATCAAAAGCATACTTAGTTACTCAACTAAGTGAAAACTGTTAGAAATTCAAACTTTAAGGTCAAAATGGAAAATATTTCTACATAAACTATGCTTTCAGTTTGGATACTTTTGTCTTAAATTAGAAATTCTCACTTTGGTGAATAGCTCTGTATGAACATGCGCTTGTCTGCAGGATTAAAAGTCCAAAGTAATAATTGTTGAGTTATGTCAGTCATGTTGAACGTGCTTTGCTAACAGCAGAAGAAATTACAAGTCAAGATTCTAGTGATAGGTTAGAGAATTTAAAAACGTAACTAGAAATGGTACCAATTTTGGCCTGTACACTATTTAGATAATTTAAAGCCTCCCTAGCTTACTTAATGCCAATTATTTGCAAAGGAATGTTGGACTATGACAGGCCAACATGGCAAACGGCCACGTTCTCATGGTCTCCTGTCAGCACACCTGTAATATCCATTTAGTGTTGTGTTTGTTTTTTCTTTCAGATACAATTCCTCCTACAGGAAACTGGCTGCCCTTTATGTGGTACCTTGCTACAGATGGGCAACTACAATAGAATTAAACGCATATTGTAACAGCACAAACATAACAGTGCATGTGACAGTTTGGCAATGGAATCATGTTACCTAATTATTTCACAGGCAATACACAGACACACCAGAACGTTCCATCTCCCACAGGGAGTATTCAAAAGAAAAAAAAAAAATAATCAAAAATACCTTTAAAAATGCTCACTTTGAAACAGAACTACCCATGTCTTTGAATTTTATAAAAATAGATTTTGAGTGCAAAAGTTATCCATTTGTAAAATTCGGTGTTATTACAAGCCGGCAAGTACTTTGATAATTTACATATCTTCAAGAAAAACAAAAAGAAAAACAAATATATATCTATCTGTGGCTTTGGACCTCCAGCTGTTTTTTTTTTTTTAGAAAGCCATGCCAGCCATTTGGAGGGCATCACAGGAAACAGCTCAAATTCCAAAGCTTTTGCTGCCTATGCAGTACAGGAAATAATGTTCCTTTAAAATAACAAAAAATAAAAAAAATAAAAATAAAATTAGGTTAGGAGCTTCATAAATGAAATAACTCCAGTTATGAATAGATTACAGCTGTTGGGAATCCAGTTGCACTACTAACTTTAGTTGCCAGAGAACCGTAGGTGCTGGCTGGAGAAAGTCAGGTTGCCAGCTTCTTGATAAACTATTTAAGGACCAGTGATATTTAATGCCATGAACACAACCTAGTTCCTGAAGACCCCATGCTATCATGAAATGTCCTGTTTACTTGCTGATGTTACGTGTGGGACATTTCATATTAGAGTAGGTGTCTCTAAGAAGCAGTCTTCTACGATGACAAAGGTCCTTAAAAAGTTAAAATGTGAAGAATTCTATAGTACTTTACATTGCGGAGGATGAGATGAATCCAGTAGCTGGTATTACACTACAAATATTTAATCATTATTAGAGTTCTCTGGTGGCATAAATACCAAAGCATCATTAAAACTATGTCCGTAAGCTCGTAACCTGTATACGCCATACATCATGACCTGCATATTGTTAGGAGATAGTCCACTGAATGTAATGGCCATGTCGGAGCAGCATCCCTCCACTACTTTCTGTGGATCATTTTCCATTGCTTCCTTTATAAGGGTGCCGACAGATTTTGTATTGAAGACGTTTTTTCCTTCAGAATCTTCTGCATTCTCAGCCAACACATTTTTGTACTTCAAGCACATAGCCAATTGTTTGTCTTCAGAGACTTTCCATATTATACCTCCACTCTCGGGGCACTTATCTGGTTCATTGAAAACAGCGATAAGCCGGTTTAGAGACTCCACACTCAAAACAATGCCTCCTGCAATGTCAACATATTCCAGGTCTCCTGACGTAGACGTATGACCAATGTAGAATGGCTGAGAAGGATCTTTTTTTAGCAAGAAGAACTTCAGGTTTTCAATCACAGCAAAGACAGAAGGCTGGCTTATGAAAAACCAACTGTACTCGCTTTTGTTTTTCTCATAGGCTATCTGGATAGCTTTTCTGATCATTGCCCACATGTCATTGGTGTTAACAGATATTGATTCAAATGCTTTAACTTCTTCCGAGCTGTAAAATTCGGCTTTGTCACAATGCTTGACCCATGTGTCCTTTGCTGCTGCCCACAATGAAAGGTCTTTTGGTTTTACCAAGATTATACAATACACTCGCATATTTTGACTCAAATCCATTCTTTCGTTTTCAGAAAGTTTCAGAACCTCTTCTTTATTTGGAGCTTGTACGTGATGATGTTCATGAGATGTGGTAGATTCATGGGCAACTTTTATATGTCCTATCAAAGTAATGAAAATACAAAATGCTCCTCCTATCAACAATCCACGCATAAATGAACTTCCTTCCGAAATCATTTTTCCTGGAAAAGGAATAAACATTGTTTTAGTAATGTATTGCTGGTACAATCATGGTATTTATTTAGAAACATAAAATGACAAAACATTGAGAAAATCAGCCTATTGAATAGCTATACCAATCAGTTTTTAAACTCCTAGTATTTTGACTTTACAAGACGTAATACATTTCTTTTTATGAACCCTTTCCTATCAATGATACACATAGAATGTGACGGCAGATAAGAACCATTCGGCCCATCTAGTCTGCCCAATGATACTTGCTCAAGTTGATCTAATCTATTGCTCCAACTGTAACTTGCATTTATAACAAAATTTGGTGTATGACTTACTATGGACAACATTTCTGCTACTTCCAATAATACTTCTCCAAAAATGCCAGGCCTTGGCTAGATTCACAAACAGCCCAGGCCCATATTAAATCTATTCTTGTTCTTTGAGGGAGGAGTGTGCAACCACTACCCCCTCATCAGGAATACAAAAACAATTTTACTTGACAGCCTATTTTTATGTCCACATTTTTTGCTTCTGCTCCACATATTATTTAGGACATACTAGTCACGGTTCATATTGTTATTGTCTTGTACATTATTTGTGAGTGAGTAAATTGAAGTGTATTCCAAGTGTTTCATTTAAATGGACATTATAGGCACCCAGAACACTTTATCTCATTGAAGTGGTGTGGGTGCAGTGTCCTGGTTCCCTTAACTCTGTAATGTTAATTATTGCAGTTTCTGATAAATTGCAATAACAACATTGCAGGGTTAAGACTGCCTCTAGTTGCTGTCAGTCAGACATCCTACTAGAGGCACTTCCTGCTTGTTAGGCAACCTTTGGTTACCTTACTGACGCTGGACATCCTCACGCTTCTGTAAAATTCCCATAGGAAAGCATTGCGGGTATGGCTTCTATGACTAATAGGTTTAAAAGTGTTCTTAAAAATATTTTCAATTTAAAATCTAGTTCGAAATGGAACAATGCTTTTTTTTTGCATTTTCCATAGTTTCACGTTTCTGGCACTTCACCTTCTAATTTATTCAACTAAAGAGATCACATGATAACCCATTTTTTATATATCACCAACCCTCCACTCAGGGCACCATAACCACAATAGCCACCTTTAGTGGTTATAGTGCCAGGAGTGCCGCCCCCCCAGAGTAAGTAGTCAAATTGTTTGCAAATGATTTCACAATTACCCAGGGTCTGCCAGGCACCAGTCACAGCCTCTTCTAGAACAAACTTCCATTAGCTCAACTGAGTTCTGCCATGCAGGACTGGCTTATTAGCTTGTGTCAGATAAACGCTTTCAGTGAGTGAGCAACACTCGGCACCACTAGGTTTAACTCATTGCTGCAAGCTTCTGACTCCAGAAAGGGCTGTGACTGCAGTCAGCGGACACCAGGTAAGATGCCAGACTCTGACTACTTACCCCGGGATGGCGACAGAGTACTTCTGACACCATAACCATCACAGGAGGCTGTAGTGGTTAAGGTGCTTGGAGCGTTCCTTTAAATACATATTAATACTTTCCATATTGATAATTTATATAACAAAAGGTAATGCCTCTCCACTCATAGGACCATTTCCTTGAAGCTTTTAGGAAACTATGTTTCTCAGGTGTCAGGAAGTAAACAGTAACTCAGGAATAATAACAAAACCTATGATCAGTAGCACTTGATCTTGTATTAAAAAAAAAAAAAAAAATAGTGGGTGGCAAAATACATAAAATTAAAAACACACTTAGAAACCAATACTTTGTATACAGCAATTAAACTGCTGAAAATAGTCTACAATTGTAACGCAAACATAACCCCCACCCCAAAAAACAAACAAAACAAAAAAAACTGAAATACTGGTTTTTCTTGAATTGCCTCATTATTCATATTTAAAACCACTTTACGTTTGGGAGTGGCCATCACATTAAGTGTTTCAATTTCCCAAATGCCTTTGGGAAAATGCAGCAAGATACTAATATGGTTTAACAATCAAATTATCTTAAGGGCTAAAATATTATTATGATGATATTTATAGAGCGCCGTCAAATTCCGCAGCGCTTTACAATGGGTGGACGAACAGACATGTAGTTGTAACCAGACAAGTTGGACACACAGGAACAGAGGGGTTGAGGGCCCTGCTCAATGAGCTTACATGCTAGAGGGAGTGGGGTAAAATGACACAAAAAGGTAAGGATAGTATTAGACTAGTGACAGTTGCAGAAGAGGAATCAGTCAGGAGCTATTAACAGTTTAATTGATACGCTTTTATGAAGAAGTGGGGTTTTTAACGATTTTTTGAAGGAGTGGAGACTGGGTGAGCATCTAACGGTGGAGGGAAGCGAGTTCCACAGGAACGGTGCAGCCCTCGAGAAATCTTGAAGGCGAGCATCAGAGGTGGGAGTACGGACAGAAGATAGACGTAAGGCTTTAGCAGATCATAAGGGCCTAGACGGGACATACTTGTGTATAAGGGAGGATAGATAGGTGAGATTTGAAAGCAAGAACTAGAAATTTAAATTGAGCGCTATCATTTATAGCAAGCTAATGTAGGGACTGACAGAAGGGTGAGGCATGGGAGGTGCATGCGGACAGGAAGATGAGCTTCGCTGCTGCATTCATTATGGACTGTAACGGCGCTAGTTGGGAGCACGTAAGACCACTGAGAAACGGATTACAGTAGTCAAGGCGAGAAAGGACAGTGGAATGGACCAACACCTTAGTCGCATCTGGCGTTAAGTAGGGTCAGATGCGCGCAATGTTTTTGAGATGGAAATGACAGGATTTGGCGATAGATTGAACATGAGGCTTCAAGGAGAGGTCGGAGTCAAAGAGAACACCTAGGCAGCGAGCCTGTTTGGTGGAGCTGATGGTAGCACCGTTGACTTGGAGGGAGACAGACACATGAGTAACAACACTTGATGGAGGAAAGACCAGAATTTCAGTTTTGGTCAAGTTTAGTTTAAGGAAGTGGGCAGCCATCCAGTTAGAAACAGCAGAGAGGCAGTCAGAGACATTAGTCAAGAGGGACGGGGAGAGATCAGGAGAGGACAGGTAGATTTGCGTGTCATCTGCATAGAAATGATTTTGGAAGCCAAAGGAGCTAATGAGTTTACCAAGGGAGGCAGTATAGATCGAGAACAGTAGGGGACCAAGGACTGAACCTTGGAGGACACCAACACAGAGGAGTTGGGGAGAAGAAGCAGAGCCAGAGAAAGAAACACTGAAAGAGCGCTGGGAGAGAGCAGTATCTTGTAGACCGATATTGCCGAGGATGAGAAGAAGCTGTTGATGATCAACAGTGTCAAAAGCCGCAGACAGGTCAAGGAGAATTAGGATAGAGTAGTGACCACGAGATTTTGTAGCGAGTAGATCATTGGATACTTTGGTCAGTGCCTTTTTCACAGAGTGCTTAAAATATAAAGTTTTCACGAAGATACAATGATATTGGATCTTCCTGCACATAGATTTTTATGGTGCTTGCATTGTTCCTGTAAAAAGATCGCTATAATCACCAAACCTATTTCAACTTGCTCAAGTCTCCCCTTTATTTCATATTTTTATGTAATGATTGGAAGTGCTCTCTAAAGAAGTTTAAGGGATAAGAATAAGACTACAGACAGGTCAGAATGAAACTCTTAATTGGAGCTTCTTTTTCTGAAGGGCGAATGTCTGCCTCTAGATGGAAGCATTGTCTCTAAACTGTGTAGCTTCAGGAAAGCTTAAGCATATGTTTTATTTACCATTAGTTGTAATGCATTATCAATTTATCTTTGTCACTTTGACCATATTGTTTCACTTTAATAATGTGGTCTTCGTGTTACCTTCTAGGGAATGAAGTGTGAATATGCAGAAGGATGCCATTCGCAGGACCTGCTGTCATACCCGGTTATGACATCACTAAGCAGCGTGCGAGAAAGAAGAGCTTGAAGATTACACAAGCCCGACACTGGACCTCAGGAAAGGAACCACTTCAGCTCTCCCATTTGTTAGTTTGAGGAAAACAAATGTATGTCAGTGTTTGTCAGTGTGTGTCAAAATTGTCCTATGGGAAAGCATTGGATTGGCTGAGATTGCGAATTCTGATGATCTCAGCCACGGAGGAGGGTGGAGCCAAACGCCGCTCTAGCCAATCAGTATCCCATCTTAGAGATGCACTGAATCAATGCATCTCTATGGGGAAAGTTCAGCGTGTACATGCGCAGAACTGGACTAGAAAGTAGCTCTAGTGGCCATCTGAGTGACTGTCACTGGAGGTGTTCCTATGCAGCAATGTAAACACTGCATTTTCTCTAAAACATTTTTTACATTATAAAGCCTGCAGTGACCGACTATACTCACCAGAACAACTAAATTAAATTGTAGTTCTACTTACTATAGTATTCCTTTAAGCTGTAGCTTTTCTAGTAGCTAGCTTTCTTTTAAGAACTGTATTTTTATTGTTGAAAATAAGGCTTTGTTAGTTTAACCCCTTAAGGACACATGACATGTGTGACTTGTCATGATTCCTTTTTTATTCCAGAAGTTTGGTCCTTAAGGGGTTAAGGAAAACCTGGCTCCTAGATTCAAAACAAATTTGTCAAGCCATGGACTAATTATAAGCTAGAATGCACGGTTCTCCTATACAAAAGGAAGCAGCCCAAGGGATTAGAAGACGCCTTATGGGTGTGCCATATCATGGCTCCTACATGACTATGAAGCTAGTAATACTAGCACCTAAACCAGGTCAGCTGTTTTCCATGGCTAGCAGGAATTCTACTGTAACAGCAGAATTTTAAACTGCTGGAAACATGGTTTCTTAAACATTACATTTTCAAACCTCCCAATATTGGTGTTGTCCAAATCGATGGGCCCTGCCTAGATAAGGGGACTGTCAGTCTGACATAATTGCACACCAGCCCGCTAGCAGCCCCATTCAGAGATGCTCATGTTCAAGCATTTCTCAAGTAATCTGCCCTTTAAATGAATGTCCTTTGTGCAGACGGCCAAGCGCAAGAGCAATTTTTTCAAGTAGCACATTTGCCTATATAGTGTCAGGGCTGTAACGAATGTTGTGATATTTTATGTAGTTGAGAACAGCGAGAGTGCCCCGTGCAGAGGAGGATGTAGTAAGAATAGGGCAGGGAGTTGTAAAAGTGTGAAGGAGATGTTGCATAAGTTTAGTCGATCTATCAAAATTATAAGGAAGGTAGGTGGTGGTCTTAAATGGGAAAAGAGCGACAAGTAAAGTCAGATTTAAGGCAGAAGTAGGAAAATACCAGGTCAATAGTGTCCGTCACAGTGAGTAGGGAATAGGATAAATTGAGACAGACCAACTAAGTTTACAGGCAGCATGGTCAGGTTGGTTATCAATGGGGATGTTAAAGTCCCCAAGTGTTGGCAACAGCACAACTGGAGTGTAAGGTAGCCAAGAGGAAAAGTTGTCAAAATTTAGAGATTGGTCCAGGAGGGTGAAAGATATCTGCCACTCAAAGAGAGTGATGAGAACAGGAGAATCTTTTAACTTTAAAAGAGCAGCAGACAGATCGGAGTGGATGCAAAACAAGATAGGTCCAAGAGATGGAGCGCAAGATTCCAGCACTACTATCATGTTTCTTACATGGCATACTGGTGTGGTTAATTGGGGGCCAATGCGTGTGAAAGAAGCTATGGAAGCAGTGTCAGAAGAAAAGAAAAGAATAAAAAAAAGTTTTGGTAATTGCATGGAGGTAGAAAGAGTTGGAAACAACGGCCGTGAGCTTGTTACACACAGAGAAAATGTTCCAGAGATAGAACAAAAGGAGATATGCGCAGTGGGTTAATATAAAAAAAGGTTTTTAGAATAGCGTGACAGAGTTTACAATGGGAGATTAAACAAGAGTGTCATAGCCAAGGAAGTGTTACGGGACCAAGGATACGAGAGATGTCACCAAGCAGTAGTAAGAGTGTGAGTTAGAGGCGGTGAGCTTGAGATTTGTGGGAGTGTTTTCCAAAACAGTCCTCAAGGTACACCTCTACCAGTCAAGGATCTTGGGATTACCCAGTTGTGTCTAAGGTGTTTTTAGAAAGTAGAAAAATAAAATAAAATAAAATAATAATAATAATAATAATAATAATAATAATAATAATAGTAATAATAAAAAAAAAAAAAGAAGCACCTTGACAAAACTGGGTAATCCCTTTATCCTGGACTAGTAGGAGTGTCTTGAGGACTGGTTTGGAAATCACTGGTTTATAGGATGAGCAGTGTTGTACAATGACATACTAGTGAAACAAAGGAAGCAAAATTAAAAACAAATAAAAGCAGGACTGGTTTTCTGGTGTCTACAGATATACACCGGAGAACTTAAAATCCATGGTGTGTGTATGAAGGACTTGCATTGTTGGAAGAAGTGCCAGTTTTTATAAACCAAAAGGATATTCTATTGTTAGAAACAAAGAGCATGAGAGAGATTAATAAAAAAAAAAAAAAAAAGAAGAAGGGGGGGAATAGTGTGGAAAAGGGCTGCACTTTCCATTTGGTCAAATATTGATGTGTACATAACATAACAATGCTGCGGTCACCAAGATATCGGTTGGTAACCATATACACTAAGAAAGCATCTGCAGCAACCATTCAACATCTCTAAAATTTATATTAAAAGAAAAATCAAGTAATTAACATGGAAAATACAGAGGGAAACAGCAAAAAAACAACTAAACAACACATTTTAACTAAACCACAACAGATGTTTCTGGACTGTAAAATGTTTATGACAAATTATTTTTTAGGTTCCTCCATAAAAAAAAAAAAGAAAGAAAGAAAGAAAGAAAAGGTTTTGTGAAATACTGAATGTAATCACATTTATTAAAATTAAGAGATCACATTTTAATGACATTTTAACATATTCACCATAAAACATTAGCTATCCTAGATTTTATCAACTAAAACATCTTTAGAAACTATATTTTTCACAGAAACTATACGAGCAAGTCCAGCAACAAACAGAGCACATTATGATGTTTGAGTTTCCATATAGGACAGGTGTCACCTTAGAGACAGAATAAAAGTAGTTCTACTTGGAAGACTAGAGGCAGAACCAGGAAGTAAAGGAAAGCTATGCAATTAAAATAAATAAATAAATAAAATACGTTTTTCTACATGGATTTTTCACAACCTAAAAACTGAGCAGTACAACATTCCAAACATAGAACTAACTAAACATAGAACAGCTATAAGTAAATAAAAGTTCCATTTAAAATACTTGTATATTAGCCCAACATTTTGCATTGAGAAAACTAAAACAATTTTATCAAAACAAACCACCAGTCCACAGCGTGAATGCGAATCAGCTCGCCCGGTGAGTTACCCGATCAGCCGTAACGTCATCACAAGGCTTCTAACAGCTGGTTACAGGTAATTAGTGAGCCCCCGGCGGGTTATATAGGTACAAGGGGGTGAATAACTGCATGTACCCGTCGTTAATGGGGTGATATGGTCTATTTCCTCCGAGGAAGCAGCCATTGCCGACACTTACCTCTTGTTGAACGGACCTACCGAACCGTATGTACCACACTCCAACCACTGCCGGATCTCACACTTCCGGCTTCTGTTCCAGGTGACTCGGGGCACACGTGATCAGACGTGACGTGTCACTGTGGCAACGTACAAAGCTCCCTGGCAGCCATCTTTACTAATGGATTGATGGGACTCTGTTACTTTAGCAAGCCCATACTGTAAAAACTGAGAAATATCAGGAATTCTAAATTAATCTTAAAAAGGGAATTAGGCACCATAACAACGTCATCTAAATGAAGTTGTTATATTGTCAGGACGCCCGCCTGGGGGGCACTTGTAAAATATATCAAGGTACGTTGCTTTCCAATCCGGTTTTGTGAATGGAGAGTTACTGACTGCCAGGGGTGTACCGTCGGGATTGGTAGACCGGCGCCCGCCAGGGGCGCAAAAATTTACTGGTCAGACTGACAAGTGATAGTTGCACTCCCGGCGCCCCCCAGGCTGCATGCGTCCATAAGGGAACCGCATGCACTGTACACTGGGAGTGAGGGGCGCCTTCCCCTTCTGCTCTACGTGGGAGCGCCAGGTATCACGTCACCATAGGTGTGCGAAGCCTATTGTATAAGGGTGTGCACCCTAAAGCAGAAACACACACGCCGTATATATATATATATATATATATATATATATATATATATATATATATATATATATATATATATATATATACACATACACATACATACACACACACACACTGCTGTGTGTGTGAGGGTGATGTGTGTAGGTGCTGTGTGTGAAGGCGCTGTGTGTGTGCAGGCGCTGTGTGTGAAGGCGCTGTGTGTGTGTGCGGGCGCTGTGTGTGTGGGCGCGCTGTGTGTGTGAAGGCGCTGTGTGTGTGAAGGTGCTGTGGGTGTAAGGGTGCTGTTAGTGTGTGCTGTGTGTGTGTATGTGTAAGGGTGCTGTTAGTGTGTGTGTGTGAGGGTGCTGTGTGTGTAAGGGTGCTGTTAGTGTGGGTGAGGGTGCTGTGTGTGTAAGGGTGCTGTGTGTGTCAGGGTGATGTTAGTGTGTGCTTTGTGTGTGTGGGTAAGGGTGCTGTTAGTGTGTGCTGTGTGTGTGAGGGTGCTGTGTGTAAGGGTGCTCTTAGTGTGTGCTGTGTGTGCGTGTATGTGTGAGGGTGCTGTGTGTAAGGATGTTGTTAGTGTGAGGGTGCTGTTAGTGTGTGTGTAAGGGTGTTGTTAGTGTGTACTATGTGTGTGTAAGGGTGCTGTTATTGTGAGGGTGCTGTTAGTGTGTGTGCTGTGTGTGTAAGGGAGATGTATGTGTGTGCGCTGTATGTTTGTGTGTAATGTGTGGGGGCCGTTTAGTTAATATCCCCCCTCTCTTGTTACTTTATGTAGGGAGGGGGGACCGTGCTCCTGCCTTCCCCGGTGGTCCAGTGGAGAGTGAACTCTAGCCCCCTGTGGGGCTAGAGTTCACTCTCGCGGGATCTGAGCGTTGCCGCGGTACCTGCGGCAATGCTCCGACCGCGCGAGAGGAACCCGGCGGAGCTGCTGGCAAGAGCTCCCCGGGTCCTCTCCTGCCTCCCTCCCTGCCTGAGGGTCAGTGAGGGAGATCTTTGGTCTTCCTCACCGGCCCACGGAGGGAGGCACATAGCGCGTGCCGCAGGGATAAGGGTGTGCCTAGGCACACCCGGCACACCCAGTGCGCACGCCTATGCACATCACTACCTGGTGCTCAGTGTAACTCAACGCGCCTGCCACCGCTGGAGAATAAGAGGTCCCCTCCCGTGCTATGTAAGGTAAAACGGCAGGGAAGGGGATCAACAGTATGTAGTTGGAGAGCAGAGCAGGAAAGGGAGGGGGTATTATGAATGGAAGGGGTAGAGGGGGAGGATTATGAATGGAAGGGGTAGAAGGGGAGGATTATGAATGAAAGCGGTAGGTGGGAGGATTATGAATGGAAGGGGCAGAGCGGGGAGGATTATGAATGGAAGGGGTAGTGGGGAGGATTATGAATGGAAGGGGTAGAAGGGGAGGGGGAGGATTATAAATGAAAGCGGTAGGTGGGAGGATTATGAATGGAAGGGGCAGAGCGGGAAGGATTATGAATGGAAGGGGTAGAGGGGGAGGATTATGAATGGAACGGGTAGAAGGGGAGGGGGAGGATTATGAATGAAAGTAGTAGGTGGGAGGATTATGAATGGAAGGGGCAGAGGTGGGAGGATTTGAATGGAAGGGGTAGAGGGAGAGGATTATGAATGGAAGGGGTAGAAGGGGAGGATCATTAATGAAAGCGGCAGGTGGGAGGATTATGAATGGAAGGGGCGCGGGGGGGGGATTATGAATAGAAGGGGTAAAGGGGAGGATTATGAATGGAAGGGGTAGAAGGGGAGGGGGAGGATCATTAATGAAAGCGGCAGGTGGGAGGATTATGAATGGAAGGGGCAGAGGGGGGAGGATTATGAATAGAAGGGGTAGAGGGGAGGATTATGAATGGAAGGGGTAGAGGGGAGGATTATGAATGGAAGGGGTAGAGGGGAAGGGGGGATTATGAATGGAAGGAAAAGGCAGAAATATTAAATAACTATTTTTCTACAGTATATATTAATGAGGATCCTATGGCAAGAGATATGCAAATGATTGCTGCAAAAAACTTGCAGATAACTTGTGATTGGATGACATGAGACAAGGTGCTACAGCTGTTAAAGAAAATTAATGTAAATAAAGCTCCGGGGCCTGACGGTATTCACCCACGAGTACTTAAGGAGCTAAGTGGAGAAATAAATGAACCTCTGTATTTAATTTTTCATGATTCTTTTGTTTCAGGTATTGTACCGGAGGATTGGAGGAAGGCAGATGTCATTCCTCTATTTAAAAAGGTTTCAAAATCTTTGCCTGGAAATTATAGACCTCTGAGCTTAATTTATGTGACTGGGAAAATATTTTAAGGGCTATTAAGGGATAATATTCAGGAATTCATTGGGAAGAACTTTGTTATTAGCAATAATCAGCATAGTTTTATGAAACATAGGTCATGTCAAACTAACCTAATTGCATTCTATGAAGAAGTTAGTAGAAGTATAGATCAGGGTGTTGCCGTGGATGTGATCTACTTGGATTTTGCCAAGGCATTTGATATGGTTCCTCACAGTAGGTTAGTCTTCGAACTAAAATAAATTGATCTAGATGATTATTCTTGTTGTTGGGTAGAACATTGGCTTAAGGATAGAGTACAATGAGTTGTCATTAATGGTAAATTTTCAGGCTGGACAAAAGTGGTAAGTGGTGTCCCTCAGGGTTCTGTTTTGGGACCACTTCTATATAACATATTTATAAATGATCTTGAAATAGGCATTGAAAGCCATGTTTCAGTGTTTGCAGGTGAAACAAAACTTTGTAAAGTAATAAATTGTGAACAGGATATTGCTTTACTGCAGAGAGATTTAGATAGATTGGGGGACTGGGCACTAAAATGGCAGATGAAATTTAACGTTGAGAAATGCAAAGTTATGCACTTCTGGGTCAAGAATGCACAAGCAACTTACACCCTAAATGGCAGTGAATTATGGATAACCACAAACTGGAAGGATTTGGGAATTGTTATAGACAACAAATTAGGCAGCAATATGCAATGTCAATCTGTAGTTGCTAAGGCCAGTAAGGTTTTGTTGTGTATAAATAGGGGCATAAATACTTGGGATGAAAATATTATTTTGCCTCTTTATAAATCGCTGATAAGACCACACCTTGAATATGCTGTGCAGTTTTGGGCACCTGTTCTAAAGAAGGATATCATGGCACTAGAAAAAGTGCAGAGACGAGCTACAAAATTGATAAAAGGAATGAAGCATTTTAGTTATGAAGAAAGGTTAAAAAATGTAAGTCTCTTTAGTTTGGAAAAACGGTGCCTTTTTTTAGGAATTTTTTCCTAGTTTGTTGCAAAATTGGAAATGCTTCAGACTGGGTTTTTGCCTTCTTTTGGATCAACAGCAAAAACAAATGTGAGAAAGGCTGCACTTGATGGGCGCAAATCTCTTTTCAGGTATGTGGCAGAGGGGGGATTATGAATGGAAGGGGTGTCACAGTTCTCACCATGACATCCAGATGGCCAGACACAGTCACCCCAGAAATGCCCAAAAGGGGATTTGAACTGTGGCCCTCTTGTGTCCTGTTCCTGCTGTCTTGTCTCTGAACCACACTTGAGCTCATGTTCCTGGTTGATGTTATATCTTGCATTGTTTCCAGCACTTGGGGGTTGGACTTTACCTGTGGCTTCACCTGTCTATCAAAGACCAGCTGGGGCAGATGGTTCATTATCCAAGGTATATAACACTGCCTCTCCCTGAGGACAGTATCAGTTTGTTGTTTCTTGTATCCTGTTTTCTAAGACTGACTTGGCTTGTGACCCTTTCTGTTTGGATTATTCGTTATTGCCTGTTCGCTGCCTGCCCTGACTTTTGGAACCGTGTCTGACTACTCTTCTGGATTTGCCCTTGTCTCTTTCCTCATACCCGGTTATTGTTCCTGCCTAAGCCCCCGTGCACAGATTCCCAGCCCAGGTAGCTTCTAATCTGGTTACCTTGGACTGTGTATATCTGCACGAGTGAGCATAAAACTCTGCCTACCGGACTCCCAACTAAGGTAAGCCGTGACAGGGGGCTATGAATGGAAGGAATAGAAGTGGGGGTGGGCTTGAATGGAAGGAATAGAAGGGGTTGCGAATGGAAGGAATAGAAGGGGGTTATGAATGGAAGGGCAGAGGGGGGTTAGGAATGGAAGGGGTAGAGGGGGGGCCATGGAAGGGGCAGAGGGGGTTAAGTGAAATGGAAGGGTAGAGGGGGTTATGATGAAGGAAGGTGCTGGGGGGTGTGAATAGAAGAGGGAAGGGGCTGTGAAGAAGAGGAGAAGGGGGGGGTGAATAGAAGAGGTAGAAGGGGGCTGTGAATAGAAAAGGTAGAAGGGGGTTGTGAATAGAAAGGGCAGAAGGGGGTTGTGAATGGAAGGGGTAGAGGGGAGGGGATGGTTATGAATTGGAGGGGCAGAGGGGGTTATAAATGGAAGGGTAAAGGGGGAGGTTATGAATGTAAGGGTAGAAGGGGGAGTTGTGA